TAGTCGAAATATTCAAATAAACTTTTATTTGAAATATTTGAAATATTTACTGAAATAATGTGATCTACTTTATACATATATTTTTTTGTTGGACTATATTAAATGTAGAAACTACTGGATTATCATTGTCCGTTTTATCTTATTCACTATTAAAAGTTACATTTGCAATAATTAGAACCAACAAACACCTTAACTTGCTTCGATTTCTTTTGCTTTCCGATTAAGCGTTCATTTACAGACGAACAAATCAATCGCTTTAAATCAAACGAATGTGGTTATACTGCATGCGTTTCGTTCATCCGCATTCATGCGAATTCCTTCCTATATTCAAGTTGTTTGTTCGATTTTCCGCTTGATCTGTTGCCACAGAAACTACAAAAAGTTGAAAGAAATTATGAACAACTCAGAACTTCGTACAACGTTACGGGAAAAAATATTGCTTTTAATACTTATTCCTTTAGAAATAGTGTTTCTATTTAACACTATTTTAACCAAAATCTTTGAATAATTTTCAATAAAAATGATTTCCTATGTTCTATGTTTTCCATGTAATCACTTCTCTATTTCTATTTCTATCTATATCTTTGCTATAGTCATTGCAAAATTAATTCGTTAAATTGTACAATACAAAATATCGTAAAAATAGTGTTAAGCATAAAAAAGATTGATTGTCTGACATATTTATGTATTTAACTGGTAGCGGCTTCGAATTAAATGCGATTAGATAAGCATAATACAGGGTGTCCCAAAATTATTGTACAAGCGAGAAATGGGGGGTACCTGAGGTCATTTGAAGTAGCTTTTACCTTAGCGAAAATGCGATCCGCGGCTTCGTTTACGAGTTATTAAAAAAGAAAAAAACTGTAATCAATGAGAAAGAGGCCAGCTCGCCTAGCGCTAGGCGACCGAGCCAATGAGCAGACGAAGCTCAGTTCCGCTCATTGGCTCGGCCGCCACGCGTCAGTTGATCTCGTCCCTTATTGGTCACTGTTTTTCGTTAATAACTCATAAACGAAGCCGCGGATTGCATTTTCGCTAAGGAAAAAGTTACTTCAAATGACCGCAGGAACCCTTTACGTCCCACTTGTACAATAATTTTGGCATACCCTGTATAGTTACGAAACAAGTAAGTTTTATTATAGAAAGACTTATAATGTTTGAGATAATGCTCCGTTTATGGTGGTTCGCCCCTATTGCCGTGTGAAAAAGTGGCCCAACGGGTCCTAATTTGGCGACATATTGAATTAGATCGGCTTCAAAACACCGGGAACTGCATCCTGCGAGTGGCTGTCCGTGTTTGTGAAGATGCCGCAGGAGTCGAGGGACAAAGTTGATCTGGCCGTGTTGTCCGATGCGATCGACGTGCGCAGTCCAAGGTGAGAGAACCACGGAGGCGAGAATTTATCGGCGATCCCGCCAAGTTTCATTGCTTTGACTTCGGGACAGACCGGAATTTCTTTGACAATTTTACGAGGCTGTAAATCTGCCGGGGCGTAAAGCCAGTCACGATTTTCCAGATATCGGCTGCACCTTGCGACGCCGCATCCGGTTGATCCTTGCGCCTCGTCCGCCAAATGGCACACCGACACTTCTACCTTAGAAGTTACGCTGAAACTTGTGCGCGAACTGGACGACGTAAATTTTTAATCGACTGTTCCGCCGACCGTCCCGCGTGCACACCGCACGAGTATCCTTAGCGAGGAGGGTGCGTTTTTATGTTCGCGGGAAGTACGAATCAGCGTTTGCGTAAATCGAGGACGATTTGTCAACCTTTTAGCTTCTTTGTTATACTTTAAACCACGGATGACGGATGATCTCGGACGAGCGCTGTATTTCGTGCCGTGGAACACCTTACGTTGCACCTAAGTGGTTAAGGAGAATCAATCTTCATGTTTCGTCCACTGTATCCGAAGCATGAACGACATTGGGAGGTCTGCCAATTAGTAATTGCATAAAGCTGATTGCACAAAATGTAGTCAAAAACTGCAATATCACTCAAAGAATTTGAAATATTCTTAGCGTGATAGCAATGAGCTCGACATGGTAAATTGTGCAGGATATTTACGTTCAAAAGCATTTTAACATTAAACGTACCGAGGTCTAGAAGTGATTGGTATGCGCTGCCTCATACAAATTATAAGATTGAATTTTATTAAATATTTTCACAATTTTTGTGATAGTATGTGTCTGAATGTAGAAATATATTCGACGGTTTCCAATGAAACCAGCTTTATGATTTCCATAGTAATTATAAAATAGCAAATATGAAATCATTTGATTGGCGGTGGTACGTTCAGTGTGAAAATAAAAGTATTTTAAAGTGCTCTGGACATTAATGAGCATATTTTCTCCTAGTAAATTCGTTCACGATTTAAATATTATTAATAAATCGGACTCAGTATGTATGAATTATTTTAAAACACACAACTTATTTTGTATTAAAAAATGCAAAAGAATATTAAATCACAAAACAATTTAAAATATTCGACATACCGGTATATAAATGTATAAAATTATTCGAAAGTTATTATGAAAATCTGATCTCCGAAGCATCAAACTGTA